ATTACTCATTATTACTAAAAAATTAACAATTATACCTGATTTACGCCTACATAAAAATAAAAACCAAACTTTAATTTTTTTTTTATTAATTCCATTAAAAATAATGGTCAAAAAGATTCGGTCAAAAAGTGCAAATAAAAATTAAACTCAATATTTTTTGAGAATATATCAAAATCGCTTATTTATTGATTTTAAAATAAGAGACATTTGGTTTATTTATTCTTACTAAATTCTTACTAAAAATTAATTTTGTTTATCACAGAAATCACAATTTCTGCTTTAAACGAAATATTGCTTAGAAATGATCACTTGTATTCATTGAAAAACATTTTTTTTAAATAATGGTCACAATATAAATTTTTAGCTTCTCATCACAAAATAAAAAGCAATACTGAAAAGAATCATCACACATATTTTGGTCGGATTTAATTACTTTTTTATCGATTTCAAATCGTCTTTACAATTTTCAAATAATTTTTACTTTTATTTAAATAAAAAAACTAAATAAAATTTTCTAGTGATAACCGTTCGATAAACTGATTTTTTTCTATTTTGCGTTTAGAATAAGTCTATTCCAGCACCCAAATGACGTCATTTGAGTGCTTTAATAAGTCGTTGGCGTTAATTTAACTTTAGTGACGAAATTTCTTCACTTTCTTCACTATTCATTTTCAAATGTGAAAATAAGAATTATTTCTATTTTTCACAGCCGCCTAAAATTATTCCACATAAATGTCGCCAACCTTCGCAAAATTCTCTAGAAAAAATTTTTTTTCGTCTTTTAATTTAAAAAATGATATAAAGCGGCAAAATAGAAAAAATAGTATAAAGCACTTGTTGCAGAAGGTTCTTCAAGCACTCATTTGTATAAAATTAAATTATTTTGTGTCGCTCTCAAACTTCTTCAAGATCCTTTCCATGTTTAGTTATTTAGAAAAATTTAACGAAAGAAAAAAACTTTTTATTATAATTCCTTAAAACATAACAAAAAGTGATTTTTTAAACTTAAAAATTTTATATTGAAATAAAAAAAAACAACTTTAAATACACAAGCCTTTCTCCGAAAGAATTTCAGAAGTCAAACAAAGGATAGTAAAATCGTAGAACAATGTCACTTTCACTTTCCCCAAAATTATAGAAATTTTTCCGAAATCCCCTTATCATTTTTTCCTAAAATAAGATTAGAGCCATCGATGTTAATTGTCGTCTAATCGGCTTAAACCTTGACAACACCTGCAATTCGAAATATCTCAACTTTCCAGAATAAGTAAATAATGTATGAAAAAAAATAAGTTTAATTGAATACCACAACCCGCAATTAGGTTGTCATTTATTTAGCAATTTCTGGAGCAAACTTAATACTTCTTCCTGTTCACTTAACACAAAGTGGTAATTAAACAAACTCTCGATTTAATTTATTTATAAATTTAATCAAGTATAAAGACAGTATGACGCAAAATGTCCTAGTTTTGCACCATGGACCAACAAAGAGCAATCATCGAGACCAGTCTAACATTTTTTAAAGTTTTGGGCATCCACCCATGGAAAAAAATGCGGAAAATCCCAATCCTTTGCCTGATTTCCTCCCATTTGCTTTTATTCGTTTTAGTGTATTTGCGCTTCTTTTTCGAAAAAATCACTTTTGGGCTAATTTCTGACACCATCGAGTCCACTTTCACCATCATCCACGTAAGTAAATCAAACCACACGATCACACCTGACAAATTTCTAGGTCCTCGCCAAATTCATCACACTTGTGATAATCAAACCCACGATCAAAAAACTGTTCCAAACCACCAACTCTTTCTGGCTCGACAAGAAATTTGAAGCAAATTTTCGACACGAAGTAGATAAAAATTTGCGAACTTTGATTCTCCTCTTACACTTTTTTTTGGCTTTTGTCAGCATTGTAATTGTTACGTTTGCGATAAGGCCCATTTTTGACGAAACTTTGGCCATTAACTGTTACATCCCTGAATTTGTCCCAAGACCGATTTTTATTGTCTTTAATAATGCAGTATTTGCCGTCTCGGCTTTTGCAGTTGGCTCCTTTGACATGTTTGTTTGTGTCATGGTCGTACTAATCACAATACAGTTCAAAATTTTGAACCATGATATATTATCTCTGGATTTGGGCAAAGTTCTCACAGAAAACGACGAAAAAGTCTGCCAGAAGAAAATCAAAGTCATCGTGGACTATCACGATTTTCTAGACAGGTGAGACCTAGTAAACCAATAGTGACGAACTCGGCTCTGCCTCGGCCAACAAACAAAAAACGACAGCGAAAATATCAAATAGCCTCAAAGTTTTAATTGTAGTGGATTTTAATCTGTTTAGGTAAAAAAAGACTTCTTAACGTGGAAAGTGGAAAGTAACTAAAAATAAAGCTTATCTGCTAGTCTAGTCATCCAGTGATTCAAAATAACTAAGAAATATTTCATAATCTTTCAAAAGACAAATAGTACCTAATAAACAAAAGATTTTCTAATCTTCAAAAATATTCTTAAAAGCAAATTTTCTTCTATTAAAACATTTAAAAAAAGTCTTGAAACAATACTTAAGAAATATAAAAAAAAGCTCCCAACGTAATAAAAGTATTCTCGCTATTCATAGACCAAAATTTGAATGTCTTCGAAGTACACATTATTGTTTATCAATTTTAAAAATCATGCCTGATTTACACCTACTTACATAAAAATAAATGTCAACCTTTAAATTTTGTTAATTCCATTCCATTGACAATAATGATCATCCAATGAAATAATAATAATGATTAATTTATGTCCAAAAAGATTCTATTTTGAACGAAATAGATACAAATAAAAATTACACATCTTTTCTATTCATTATTTTGTTAACTAATAAAAGATAAATCAAAATCGCTTTTTTTCTTTTAATTTAATTATTGAAAAAAAAACAAGAAAACAAATATTTTTTTTCAATCAGATTAGATACATATCTGATATCTGCCAGAAGAAAATCAAAGTTATCGTGGACCATCCAATCAACAGTGAACAACTCGGCTCTGCCTCGGCCAACAAACAAAAAACGACACCGAAAATGCCAAATAGCCCCAAAGTTTTAATTTTAGTGGATTTTAATCTGTCTACGTACAAAAAAACTTCTCAACGTGTTTCTAATAGACAGAAAATGTTTTTTTGTTTTGCCATTGTAATCATTTTTTTTTAATTATTTTTAGTCTTTATTAAATAAAAACTTTGTTCTTAATTATGTCAAAAAATTGTAGATACTTGGCTAAAGTCTCATCGATTGTGAGTCCGGCTCTTCTTGTGTACTTCACAATTGCCCCAATTGTGCTTTGTTTTGAGCTATTTTTCATGTCAAAAAGGTAATTTTTTATACCCCAAATTTCGTCCATAAATAGAGCTTTTAGTTCAAACTTTGCTGAAATTGCAAAATCTTGTGTCTACATCGCAGGAATTGTGATCGAGTTGTTTTTCTTTTTTTGCCTCCCTGCTACATATCTGATGATCGAGGTAAAAATGCATTATTGTAATAAAAATAATTCAAAATAAATTTTTAGACAGAACAAATGATCACTGTTGTTTATAACTCGGGTTGGGAAAAGTGTTATTTCATATCGATTCGTAAAAGTCTAATAATTATGATGCAACGGATGCAAAAAGAAACTCTTTTGACGGCTGGAAAAATGATCAAAATCAATTTGGAAACATGCACCAATGTATGAAATAATGTTTTTTGATTGGTTGTAATTTGAAATTTCAGGCGTTCAGAATGGCTCTGTCTTTCTACACATCCCTGCAAATTTTAGACGATAAGTCAAAAGAGTAGGGGTAACTCCTCCCCTTTTCACCCTTATAACTGCACTTTTGCACCTTTTAATAATTCAGTAGCGACTTTAACCCTCACAAGTCACACCAAAATGTTTTCAAGAGCTCAACGTTTTGACTATTACCCCAAACCTGAACGTAAGTAATTCACTTAAATTTTATTTTTTTAATTTTTTTTTATGTAGGCACAACACCGCAAAGTTGTGACCGTTGCACCAAACACACCCACGATTTCGTTCGGTCTTCGACTAAGAGAAGAATCTTAAACAAATCACTCGACTCGTCTTATCAAAAAACCCCAAAGAATTTGTTCGGGAAAAATGACTTAAAGAAATCGACAGAAGGTGTCCAAAAACTCAACTCGACTGAAGAAATTTCGGTGAAGAAAGAAACAAAAGTCCAAGTCCATCGCTCAAGCCAAAGCTCTTCCGAGGAACTCCAACTGAGCCGAGGTTGGACTCCTGAAGATCACTACGACAACGTTTACGACACTTGTAAGTCTTTTTCCAATTTTTCCATTCATTTACTGATTTCTGTGGATATTAGGTGGTCCATCAGAGGACAAAAACAATTTACTCGAATATTTGACCACCATGGAGAGGAAAATTGACAATCAACGGCAAAAAGTTGAAGAATTGCGACGTCAACTAACTGCGAGTGCCGATGAAGGGTTCAATTCCAGTCGAAGTCCAACGCCCCCAAATGCCAGCATCCAGGACCGTATCAGCAACTTGGAGGACATCAGCAGGTCGTGTGTTAAGGAGACTTTGGACTACATCACAATGTCCAACAAGGAGCAAGAGTCCAAATGCAGAGTGAGGCCGAAAGACCATGAGGAGTTGGTCGAGTTTTGCACCGAAGTCATAACTGAAGTTGCGGAGAAGTTGACCAACAAGAAACGCGAGAAAAAAACATGGAAGAAAATCAAGGCGTTCTTTGTAGATTTCATTTTTAATTAATTTTCTTGTACAATGTTTGTAAATGCTAAGGTGTAATAAATTCTTTGAAAAAAATTTTCTTGTCGTAATCCTGTAAGGTAACAAGTACGGTGGTACCTGACCTCTGGTTTCAATAAACAAGCAATCCAGTGTTGCCAAAAACATAAAATTCACCAATTCCGAATTTGCCAAATTTCACCAGATTTATTTGTTTGGTCAAATCTCGCGAAATACGCAGTTTTCAGCTTAAAATCTGCAGCAATTCTGTGATGTGCTTGTTTCCAACACAATTTTGCAAAATAAATGCGTTTCTAGCTGAAAAACATGAACATGCTAAAAGGCTCAAAAAATAATACACTTTTAGGCTTCATTTCATGTTTTTTTAGTTTGCTTATCGAAAAAAACTTAAATTTAAAAAAACGTGCTCAAAAGCATTTTTGTCTAAATTTTGTGGTTTCTCAGCATATTTTTGTTTCAATTTTGTTCAAAAACCAGTTAAAATCGAGTGAAACAAACAAAACAACATCAATACCAATGCTTTTTGTCATCTTTAGGCGTGTTTGGACAAGATTTTGCAAAATAAATGAATCTCTGAATTAGAAAGGAAAGAATTTGGGTGAAACAAGCTAAAAGATGAATTTCGATTTAATTTTGTAATTTTTTTGCCTGTTTTAATGCTATATTTCGAACTTTTTGTGTTTTTATCTCTCAAAAACATGCTTAAACATTCGTAAGAAGGCCGTTTTTAGTTATTTTATTAATTCGTGGTTTGTTTTTAACAAAATTTTACAAAATAATTGTGTTTCTACCTGAAAAAGCGTTCGAAAAAGACATAAATATCCGTTTAGTAACATCTAGTACAAAACAAATAGAACTATTTTTAACCAATTTGGTGGTTTTCGATTTTTTTTACGGCCTAAGAATTAGGTAAAAATATCATAACATAATCTTTCTTTTACAAGAATTTAGTGAATTTTGACACGCTATGGCAAATTCTTGCAAAAAACAGAGTTTTCGGCTTAAAAATCTGCTTAAACTTTCGAAAAAGGAAAAAATGATATCATTATGGGTCTAATTCTGTTTTTTTTGGCTTGTTTTTAACCAAAATTAATTGCGTTTCTAGCTGACAAACGTGCTAAAACTTTCAAGAAATGCAAAGTTAATGTAATTTTCGACTTTATATGTTGATTTTTCAGTTCGTTTTAGCGAAATCTCGCAAAAAACCTGAAACTGTAGTACAAAAACGTGCTTAAAAACATTATCGGCTTATTTTTGTCTTATTTTGCTAAAAAAACAATTAAATCGAGTGAAACAAAACAAAATAACTTCAATATTATTTGTTTTTATGATTTTTAAGCGTGTTTGGACAAGTACATGAGCCTCTGGTTCAAAAACAAAGTAAGTCGAGCAAAACAAGCTAAAACTAATATTAATTTCGATTTAATTTTGTAATTTTTTTGCCTGCTACAACAAAATTTTTAGAATTTACTTGCTTTTATCTCAAAAACGTGCTTAAACACTTGAAAAGGACAAAAATAACGCCATTTTTGGTCGAATTTGTTGAATTGTTTTTAACAAAATTTTGCGAAATATCCTGTCGTGTAAAATCTTGTAAAAAACAAACAGAATTATTTTTAACCAATTTGTTGGTTTTTCGAGTTTTTAAAGAAAAATGACGAAATAATGAAGTTTCTGGTTGAAAACGCAGAAAATGCTCGAAAATCCTTTTTTTTTTCATTTCCAAAAAATCACTAGAAATTAAAATTTTTACCAAAAGTCTTCACCAAATCACCAGACTAACATGAAAATCACCAGATCTGGTGAAATTTCAGCACACCTGGCAACACTGAAGCAATCAAATCGACATTTGAAGAGAGTGCAGGTTGATAACGATAAAGGCGTCAATTTCGATACCTAATGAAGTCAGCATCCTACGCGTAACGACCCAATCCAATTTCTAAACATTTTTATGTACGACTCGCGCATAAAAAAGAGACAATTATGATGTGGGCAGTCGCAAAACCAGTCTGAAAATTGCAATATTTTATGTATTTAAAGATATGCCGTATTAGTGCAAAAGTGTGGGCACTGATGTCCTTTTACAACTCTCAAGAACGGGTGTTTGGGTTCGATCGAACGGAATTTATCGATCGGGATCAAAAAACGAGGAGAAATCCCTCCCAGAGTGGACCAAAGTGATATTTTACAAGACCTCCATCAAATCTTGGAATAAAAACAAACACTTGTTTGTTCAAAATTTGCCTCGATTTCTCTCAGGTGTTGTCAGACGATCCAAATCCAATTATCACTTAGCCTCGTTATGATTTATACGAAATGAAAGTACTTCTGTATCAACATTTCCGCCCACGCAGCCCCATTTTCCCGGTAGCGGAGTCATTTATCTCACCAAAACTGCGAAAGACTCTCTTTTTGTCACCTCCTCTCTCCAAAACAAGAAGATTAAAACATCTCCGTTTTTAATTGCGTCACATCATCATGATGGAGCAATTTTCCCAAACTTTTGCGTTTTTTACAATCAACTTTCCCAAATACGGCCATAGATGTAGGTATATTATGGGCATAAATCAGAACAAGTGGAAATATGCACCTGGCTAATACGTTGACCTCGGGACCGTCGCCCACACAAAAATTAACATTTTTCATCAAAGGTGTGCCAGCGTTTTAATCTACTTACCTATAATTAGGTGTCTCGAAGACACGGGAATACCCGAGCTTGGTTGCTTTTCACAAAAGCACAATTAAGCGCGACATGAATGGAATGCCGAGACCTTGCAATAAAAAATAATTGGACCATTCATGAAAAAACTTCATTGAAACTTGGCTCTGGTGACCCCCCGACCTTAAGCAAAACATGCGCAATGGGGCGAAATTACTTACCAGGTCAAGGGCGAGTAAGGGACATGAGGAAACCTAACCTCAATCTTCCGCAATCACTTATGTAATCTTCTAATTTGGGGACAAACACTAAACAAACACTATCTGAAATAACTGCGACTTAAAAAAGTTATTACAATCCATTAAAATTCTCAATTTATTAATTAGTAGTAATTCGAGGAATCACGCAGTATTTTGAGACTAAAGGGGCGTTTACACTTGTTAAATGTCACCGTGTTGATAAATTAATGTTTATAAAGCTTATCTTTAGAAGTTGTGCCATAAAACTGTAATAATTGGACACTAACACCACCTCAAAGACTTTAATTAATTAATAACAAGTCCAATTATACGGATTTATCATACGACTAAAGGTGCTTTTACACCAATAACACTACTTTTTTTTGGATAAATTTATTAGGTATAAACTGCAATAACATAAACTTGTAGGTATATAATGTTTTTAAACTATTATTTACTCAATGAGTCAGTGATTAATTACAGTTTGTAGGATTACTCAGCTACTTGCGAGCTCAAGTTGCGTTACAATTGGGCTTTAAAAATGTTCTAAACGCATTACAAAAATGCTACAAAAGCTGTTATTAATTTATTAATGGCAAATTGGACTTACAATTATGATCAATGCTTTCAAGGAACATTGAATTACAAATTTGTTTGAGCTAAAGCTGCATTCACGCTAGTAGTTGTCGTAATAAATTTGTTTTTTTTCTTCCCGGTCCATTTGCGTCGCGATTGACATGTTATCGGTGGTATTAAGGCTAGCCCCCACGTGTGTCAAGTCTCCGTTACCGTTCATAAATATGCAATAATTTGGGTTTAAATCGTGATTTATCGACCGAAATGTTGAAATGTAATAAAAATCATCGATAGGTGCGCCTATACCATAATCCTAGCCTACACCATCGTTCCAATAAGGACAATAAGTAGGCTCGCGAGTGTTTGGCAAACAAAAATAAACCGTAAACTCGCCTTGAGGTTTGTTTACTTTCTCGGTGGTGGAATTGGTAATAATCTGGAATTTTTCGGCTGTACCGCGCCTGGTACTTGCGACCTTCTCTTACGGCAAGCCTTTGTCTTTATACGGTAAGAACGGCCGCCTCCGCGAGCCGCCCCCGGTGCAAAAACATCAAATACCAGAGTTGCACGATTTCCATTTATAAGCGCGCAATGCCTTTCCTACGTAACTTCCTTCTGCGTTCGATCTGAAACCCATTTGGGACAGTTATGCGACCGGTAACGGACCCATATTTCCACATCTGGGACGATTTTCCAACACTTGCGGAAATTATCCCAAGACTTGGAACAAAGCCAGTAAACAAGTTCAAAGTAATTGAATGGGGGACAGGAGTGCGAAGGGCGATTTTTTTTGCATTTGGCATTCCTGCGGAAGGTGCGAAGATTCTTTAATGACCGCTGGAGGGGGGACGTTGGTGGTGGAGAACACTGGTCCACCCACGTGCTCACTTGACAGGTCCACGCAACATTCGTACCACTATTCACATAGAGCCGATCCAAAACAAAAATCATTTGTACAAAATTATTTCGTGACCACGTGCCGTTTGGGGGCGTTTTTGGCATCACGTGGAGTGTCGCGTTGATTGGGATTGGTCGTTGCGCGCTCCCAGCCGCTTAATAAAAGTTGGCGGAATTTCCATGTGCCGCTCGCCCGCCCTGAATGAAAACCTACACGTTCTCAAAGTATTTACGTGATTAATGCAGTAAATTGAGCCTTGCAACAGAAAGGAGACGTTTTCTGCGTTTCGCAGTGCGACGTGAGCCACGCTTCAACCTGTCACAATTTTCGCACAATTTTTTCGGTGACATCATGAGGTGATTGATTATTAATTAGTGCCATGGATGGTGTCTACGAAATTCAGGCAAGTTGATTCACACTTTTCTATTGACTCACGTCAACAATAAACACTTTTTGACGCAACCGTTACGACACTGCTTCCCCTCGCGCCGCCATTGCGGTCACGTGAGGGGTGCAACCTCCCCTAAAGCTTGGCCTGCTGCGTTTGTTTCGAAAATTCGGTGAAAATCGAAATGATTATGCCTCGCGCGCATATTTTTAGTCCGACTTTAAAAATACCAGGAATTAATTGACAAGAAAGTGCGTCGGGAAAAAATGAGCGCCTGTTAATCCCGAAAAGCGACGGAAATGCTCGGAGGCGGGAGGAACATAAGAACGGGTTAATAATAAACCGAGTGAGGCCGGAGTACCAAATATGGTTCAATCTCGTATTACACCAACGGCCAAATTCAGAATATACCTAAGAGGAGAGAGGGCGTCCCGACGCCGAAAATAGCCGACGTCGCGCGCCTTCTACGGCCAAAGTCGTCTTCGGGCGCCCAAATCACTCGCATAATAAATAATAACAGAGTGCGAACACCACGAAAAATTTCGCGTGTGCGGGATTTGACAGATTCATATGCACGAATGCAACGGAAATGAACGAGAGTGAGTACCGACCGGAAGTAAAAATGCATTTCCGAACACGTTTCAACTGTTTTTGACCACGCACTCTACTCTTGTTACAGAGGGGGTTAACATGCAATGCGAAGAAGTAGATGAGACCCCGGCACCGGAAATGACCTTCAATGACAGCAGAGAATCGCCTGAACCCAAAACGTCTGCTCAAATATCAGAAGATCCCAAGTGAGTTTTTCAATTACAAAAAGTTAAAAACGCTTTAAAAAGTTATCGAAGTTACAAATCGGTGTTTTTTATTAATTTTTGCACAAATTATGTAATTTGTAAAGTATTTATAAAGAGGACACGAGCCCAAACTCACTGTGGGCCAAGAATTTCAGAAACTAGAAGATTTTGATTTTAACAGTGCTTTTTCTATAAAACCGTCTTCAAACAAAGTACAAAACCAAAAAAACAATTGTGTCAAATAAGCAAAATGTCAATAATTTTTTTTTTGACAATACAGTAGAGACCCGGTTATCGAGAAGTTTGTGCTATCCGGAAACAAAATCGATTTTAAAAATTTTAATCTGGTTTCAAACTCTGTTTAATTCGGAATTGGCCTTTTTTCTTTTGATGAGATTCCCACTATTCCCAGAAACGATAAAAATAAAAAAAAATTCTTCGTGCTTGAAGTATTACAAGTAGTCTGTCAGCGTACAATTTCGGTTACGGAATTTTAGACATAAAACTAAATGAAACTAAAATTTGAAAGCTTTTGTTTGGCTTCATTATTTTTAACACTTTATTTTATATTTATAATTATATTTATTTGTATTTTTTTTTCTAGTATTTTAGTCTAGAAAAATTAAATTAAATAAGCAAAAACCTGCTTATTTCTGCGGTCTGCAGTTAAAATTTATTAAATGTGAAATTAATTAATTAAGAAACATCATCAAAAAATTAAAACTGAAGGTTTTTGCAGTTTTGTTACAGGCAAATATCAATTTTTTCTATTATTAGCATTAAAAATGCCGGAAAAGTTTACGTCACAGCATGTTTAAAATTTTAGAAAAAAGCGAGGTGAAAATTTGTTTGAAAATTTGTTCAGACTTCTATTCTGTGTAAAACAAATCTACATTAATTTAATTACTTTTTTAGTGACATTTGAAATGTCTTTAGTTTTGCAAAAATATCAACCTCGTTGTTTAAGGGCCTACAAAAAAATGTCATAATTTTTAAAAATCAAGTTTATTTTTTTAGAATATACAACATAACATAAATTACATTATATATAGAGTGCGTCACAATTCGCTCCCCAGAGAAAAAAAAATAAGTAAGATAAGATACGAGGAACATGGAAAAAATGTTTAAAAAGTTCTATCTATCAAAAAATGTTGAGATTTATTTTTTGACATTTGACATGTTTTTATGTCTATTTAATGATACTGATGATCTTGTATATGTTTTTTTTACAATTATTTAGTTAAGGTAGAAAAATTTTGCCAATAAAAGCTACAAATAACATTGAACAGTGTTACAACTTAGGATACAGCTTCCTTGTTTTCTTTTCTAATAACCTGTAGCAAAAAAACTTGGAAAATTATTCTTCCAACGCAAATAAATAGAATAACCTGTAACAGGAAAACTTGGAAAATTATTTTTCCATGCAAAATTTAAATTCTCATAACTTCGAAATTTTTATAGATAATATTTTTTAAATTTTTTCTATGTTCCTGGTATCTTACCTTATATGACATTTTTCTCTGGGGCGCGAGTTCTGGCGCATCCTGTATTTCATAATTCTTTAAATAAGAATCTTTTGTCTCAGATTCTTTTGGGGCCAATTTACCCCTGTCTAGCCCAGTGTAATTAAATAAACTTTGTTTGTATGTTTTAATAAAAAATAACTTTTTTTTGAATAATTTATTTTTAGAAATAATTTTCTTTACAACAACCAAAAAACACTTTATTTTTTGCTATATTTTTGTTTTTTTTTTTTTGAAATCTGCCATTGGTCTAAACAATGTTGTTTTTTTAGGTTTGACTCTCGCAAGTTCGAAGGAATCAACCTTGAAGATGATATCGAGAAGGTCGAGGTATCATCCGGGGGCTCCTCTGCGACGAATGAAGAGGAGTTCATCGAGGCGCCCCCTCGCCTGCTTCCGCCAATTCCGGAGCAAAACCCCAACGAGTCGATCAAAAGTTGGCTCCAAAGGATCACTGACTTGCAGAAGAAACTGTCTTTTGAGCCACCTCCTGGACATTCCTTTCCCCTCAAGCCTTCGCCTCAACCAACTCCGAATCGAGTTGTCAAATTCCAGGACTTGCCCTACATGGGTGAGATGACTTTGGACAATTCGAAGCCTCGAAGAGGACGAAAGCCAAAGAAAGCGGATATTTGTCACTTGATTTACAAGAATTATGGGACGATTTTTCCGGGGACTCCCAATCCGAAGAGCTACTTGGAGAAGGAGACCAATAGGAAGAGTGAAGGAACTAAAGAGGAGACGGGGAGCAGAAGTGATGTTCAGAACAGGATCATTAGTAGCCTTTTGGAGAAAAGACTGACTCAGGAAATAAAGAAAACTGATGTTACTGAAAAAAGTGATCAAAACGAGCCTTTGAACTTGTGTATTCGTGATTTGAACCATTTGAAAATCAGACTTTTAAGAAAAAATGACAATAGTTACTCCACCGAGGTGAAATCCGAGCCAGGGAGTGACGATGACGTGGAGTTTATTCACGAAACTCCCTCTCCTGGTAAAGTTGAACCACGATCCGAGTCCTTGAGTACCCCCAGCCCCACTTCGGAAGCTCCCGGGGGTTACGTCTATTGGCCCAATGCTGGAGTTTTCATCCATCCTATGGCCCTCCAACAACAATTGATGTATTATCAAAGAATGGCGGCCAATAACAGCTACACTCTTCCCAGTCACAGCCCTCGCCCCCCTCCTCCAGATCCCGAACCCGAGCTTCGCAAAATCGTCCCCAAGACCCGCAAAAAACCCGAAGAGACTGACCCCCACCCTGAACAAAAGACAAAACGGAACGCTTCCTCCTCAACGGATAAAACCCCCACCAAGCGGAAGCGTTCCGCCATCTTCATTCCACCCATCCCCCCCGAAAACAACACAAACTCCGCCACTGAAGTCAGTATTTGTAAATTTAAATTCACGGGAGGGGCTAAACCTAGTCTCCAAGAGAAAAAAATGCTCTCGGTGGATTCTGGGGGTAATTTCCGGTACTACAGCGGAACGGGTGATAAGTCAATGCGGGGGTACGAGTTTTTCCCCCGGGAGACCCTCCAACAGCAAATTAATAACTCACAGGGGTCCAGCACCGGAGCGTTTCTTCAAGCCAGTGGTGAGAAGATTTATCCGGTGGCTCCGGTCGACTTCACTGGGACTAAACCAAGTCAAGAGTTTTTATTGACTCCGGAAGCGCCCCCAACTCCCGATTTGCACAGACACAAGAAACGAAAGTCCCGGAAGTCGCTTCAGAGGGAGAAGTTGGAGCAGACGTTCAAGGAAAAGGGATTTCTGATCCAGACTCAGCAACTGGAGTCGGCAGAGGGCGCTACTTATTGCAAGTTTAGACAGTTGAGAAAGTTCACGAGGTATTTGTTTAGGAGTTGGAAGGATTACCTTCCGGGGAATGTGCGCGAGTTACAAGAGGGGGAGAAAGCGGAAGAAGAAGATGTTGATAATTTATCAAGACATTCGAGTGAGTTAAGTAACGTGCAGTGAAACGACCAAAGATGGCGCTGTTTTGGGACGCTAGCGTGGTGCTAATTGTTAATCTAGTCGTAATTCATTAATGTTGTTAATAAAACTCGCTGTTTTACGTGGAAATGATTTATTTCTTACAATATCATTTTTAATTACAGATCAAGTAAAAGCTTCAAATTGCTATTATAATAAATATTGCGTCAAGAGATTTCTAAATTACAATGACATGGAATCTTGTTTAAACGTTATTACATCTAATAGATGCTTTATTTTTTTAATTTATTGATCACGAACTTTGTGAGCATACTAATAACTATCAATAAAAATATTTACAATAAAATACAACAGAGTGATTTAAGTCAAAAACGTGCTTAAAATCTATCACAAAATCATTATTATTACGTTAGTATTGACGAATATTACGTCGTTACTTTGATAGTAGGTAGCTGCTAATTGATTAAGCATATCGCACCGAAAACTTAACAAAACAGGAGAGACGACTTCACTTACACTCAACTAGTAAAATATCAAGGGATAATAGAGGCAACTACGGTATGATTGAAAATGTAAAGACTTTAGGGCACTTTTGTAGATTAACCAGACCGAAAATCCCAGATATTACTTTTCTTTGTTAGTTTTTCTATTAAACCTCGATGAAATTAACAAAAAGTTATTATTTGTGTCACTTTCTCCTTCTGTGAGTGGTGTAGGTAATATCTGAGGGATTCGCTCGACAAGGAAGATTCGAGACTCGTTTGAATAAATTTAGAATATCCTTAGAACTATTGAATAAATGAAGAATGTTTTAACAATTCGGCGAGATTCAGTGTGGAAATAGCACTCAATCTGGCCGTTGATCGATTTCGGCGTCTCCTCTATGAACGTGTTGTGTGTTTGTATGAGTTGGAAAAGTTTCAGTTGGCAAAAGCGACTCATCCCATCTCAACCGTTTTCAATTTCGATCAGGTCAAGAATCGCTTTCGCTCCGGAATTGAATTTTGGTCCAAACGTTCGATAATTCGGTTGTATATAAAACAGTGAATAGTAAGATGTGCAAATCACAGATGCAGAGGCACTCTTTAAATAAGTCATGAAGAATTGTCTATGTACAAAAGTCCGTCGGCCGCAAGGGGAAAGACATTCGTTGTTTCCGATGGCACGCTTCCAGTTCCCGCATCACCGGCCGAGGCGTTTTTAAATAAAATGCATCTTCTTTTTATTTTAAGGCTTACTCTAGAGAGTTGTAGCGAACTACAAGAAAACATTTCGTTCTTTGGACCCTTGATACATCTCGCGAAAAGTCCAATGTGACGAAGCTGTGGGTTATTATAAGAAAGTTGGATATTTAAATCTTTCTTTTGATATTGTTAGGCTATACACAACTCGGTACGAGTCAGAAAATAGATTGTCGACAAGTTTTTGCTATACAGGGCAGACCTTGTACTATAGATACGGGCATCTCGAACACAGCAGCTTAAAAATAGTCACTCATGAGCACGCATATCACCCAATTTTGATTCTTTGGCAAAAATAAGATATTATGAGGAAAATTACATAATCATTCAGTGTTTACAAATGCTACTTTTTTCAACAGAAAAAACTAAAGCTAGGTGTAGATCTATTTTTGGATATACCTATCTTTCATCGCCTTGACCTGATTGATTGACAATAAATTAAATAAAAAAAAAAACAAAAAGACAAAATATAAATAGAACTACATCATTTTCTCAGTAATAATTACCACCAACATAAAAAGTAATAGTAAAAAACGCTTAAAATAGAATAATTTAAGTAGCCAACATCTGTTGCTTCATGTAAGAAAGTTATTTAATAATAAGATAATTATTTCTCAGGAGAATAAACAACTATTTTAATTTTGAGAATGTAGGGATTAGCAATGTCCATTCCAGAGATGATAACTTTTCCCTCAATAGTCTAAATTAATAATAAGATAAGAAAATGATAAATTTGTCAAATAATATCAAATAATTTGTCAAAATATTCAGTTCACTCACTCAATTGCAATTTTAAGAGTGAAAATCGATATTTAATTTATTTTATTTTTGAAGAAATAAAGTACCAGATTATTGATCAAAAACGAGGGAATAAAGCGTCACTTTATTCCCTATTGGGAAAAAACTTGTTACTTACTTTCTTAATACACTTTTGAGCAAAAATAAAGCAGCACTAACAGTACACGTACGACTTTTTAATATACAATGCTTTAAATACTTAAAAAAAAAAGAATTTTTATTAGAAATTAATGAAGATTAATTAATATCTATTATACAGATCAGTTTTGATGTTTTAAATATTTTTAGCTTCTTTTCTAATATTTTATGTGTTCAACTTAAAAAAAACAAACCATTTTTGCGTATCAGGTCCAGTTTTTTAATGTCAAACATACAAGATAAAAATGTTACTTTTTATTAAATTACAGAATTTTTTGCATTCATTTCAAGCAATTCTTAATATGTAAAAAACACAGAAATGAATGACTACTGATAAATGTTAAAAAGAAACTTTGCTAGCGATGAAGAAAAAACATCACGAAAATGTAGACATAAAATTTTTGCAAATGTTGAAAATTCTTAATTTTTTGCTTAATAAAACGATTATTTTGATGTAAAATTAATTAGAAAAATAATTATGCAAAAAAAATGTATTATTTCTTGAATTGTTAAAAATTTGATGTGATGGAAAAAATCTGAACACATTTTAAATATCCTACCCTGAAATTTCTCACCTTTACCAGACTCACTCTGTATAATTAATTATTAATTTTTTAAATAAGTTTACATATTTCTGGTGTTTATTCATTTTACTTAAATAGAAAACTAATTCGATATTCCAAAAAATCAATACTCCGAAAAACCTCTTCCAATAATTAGTTCGGACTGCATGTATTTATCTACTAAACTTATTTAGATTTTTAAGTGTACTAAGCAGATGGTTAATGCGTTATTGACTAGTTTCGCAAAAAAATTAACAATAAGAAACAATTAATAATTCAAAATTAAAAAAAAATGTGTTTTGTTCAATTTATCAAAGAAAACAGAAAACAGTGACAATAATATTTAATGTAAAAAAAAATTTCTCACAAAAGTGCCAATGTATTAAAAAACAATTTTAATATTAAATTCAATAAATCTTAAATAATGACCATAAAACGCAGGGTGTCCGAAAAATCGTTGAAAAATTGTGGGAGCTAGAGCCTCTCTTTTGTCCGCAATTTTCAAGGGGCTAGAACCCCTCTGAAAATAGCGGACAAAAGGCCTTTTTTCAATTATCTCAGTAACCGATAGACATAAATTCACAAAATTTTGTATCTGGAGTATTTTTTTGGCCCTGAATGTACTGGTGATATAGTCGAGTTATCGCCCTAACTCCATTAAGAAGCATTTCCGGACATTGGTATATAGAAACATTTTTCTTATTTTGATCTAGAGAACCACCCCTCGAAGTTTTTCAACGATTGTTTCCTGTATTTATAGTCATTATATTTATTGGAATAAACCAGGTCACAAATAAAACTCTGGTGTTATATTATATAATTTTGATCTTCAGTAGTATTTTTTTGGTACAACATATTTCTTTTTTCTAGAATTTTCAGTGAAATTTTGAACTTACTTTGCCACTAACTAACTTACCTCGTAACGATTGTCTGAAACCATTATTTTGATTATGATATTAAAAACTTCTAGAGCTATTATACGCCCCACATGTGTTCGAGACAACTCGCATCCCCCTATTTTTACTTTTCATATAAATCTAAATAGGCACGGTCTAGATATAGATATGGAAATAATCTAATTAAAGTGACTAAAAATATATATTACAATTGATCCTTGATCAATGTACACGTGTGCCCCATAATACCATGCTTAGTTTTGAATATTGACTAAATTCCCTTAAACTACTTATGTACAAGTTAGAGAATCCCGCCGGATATGTAGTTGCAAGATTATTGCTGCACCGATATGCCCGTCCCTCATACATCATCCTCGATGGATTTCAGCGGTTGATTTTTTTGTGCCATCGCATTCAAAATGTGGGTTAAGGCGTCCAACTTCTTGTCCATGGTGCCCAATTGTTGCTCGACTCGGTACAGTCTCGCCCCCACCGTCATGGGTTTAACATTCCCGACCCTGTCGATCCCCGCCAGGTAACTCCCTGGCTTGCCCAACGTCTGGTCCAGCCTCCTCTGCAACTCCTTGATGCGCACCATCATGTTGAGGTGGCCTTGGCTGTACTGCTCGATGACGTCCCGCACGTCGTAGGGCTTCCGCGCCTGCTGAAACTTCCGTCGGGCTACGAAATACTTGATTTTTCTTATGGCGCGGATGGCGTTTTTGTGGGCCTCCGTCAGTCTGGAAAAATACAGTTAGGGGGAGTTATGGGGGTTGTGGCGCCGTACTGGGTCACCCGGGGGAGCTCGCCGTCGAGGTCGTCGATGTCGTCGCTGGCGGCCTCCGTGACGGTGCTGGTCTGGCTGGTGAAGACGGCCCCACGAGAGCTCTCGCGTTCGCCTCGGCGGACACGGTTGGGGGTGCCTGGGGAAAAATTACAAGCGTTTGTGAATAGAAAGTCGTATCGATTTTGCCATCAGACTAATAAAGGCACAAAAGCGACTTTTAGTGAAGAATTTTTACACAAAAAGAGAAAAATGATGATGCGTTTCATACACGTGCTAAATACAACATCAGACGGTGATTAATAATCCGGCAAGTCGATAATGTTTGTGCACTCGCGGTTTAACGTCAGCTTTGATGAGAAATTTTAGGGAGAAATAATGATGAAAGTTTCAAGTTTAAGCTGCGAGACATCGATCCAATGTACAAATATTATCTTCACTTAACACTCATGTTTATTATAAAAAATAAAAAGTATACAAGGTGTTAAAAAAAGATTGTAAAATATTTTAGAACGTAATACAGTGGAACTCTTCTATAACGCGTCTCGGTTATAACGAAAAATCGGCTATAACGAGTAAATTGTCTGGTCCCTTGCTGTTTTGTATACTAAACTCTGTAAAACTCTCCCTCTATAGCGAGTGTTTTTCTGGAATTGAGATGGATATACTTTTATTTTGTCCAAGATCAGTAATAGCGAAAAATTCTGAAAAAGTTCGGAAACAAATCGGTTATAACGAGAGTTTCTAGAAGAAATAAAAATTCTGCGAGTCTCCTTTTCGTATTGTGTACTAGAATTTTTTTGGAAATGTTTTTGCGTGCTAATTGTCTTATTCTTCTCACTTTCTTAGTCTTGAATAACTTTTCAAGCAGAGAATACTTTGTCCTTCCGTTTCGATATGTCGTCCTCGACAAGAAAAACATTTTCTATCAAAGAAAAAATATCAATTTGTTAGTTCGTATTTAATAAATAATTTGCATAGTACGTGTGCAAAAACTTTTATTATCCATGACTGTTTATAGCGAAGATCGGTTATAACGCGCAAATACGTTGGCCCTTGAGTTCTTGTTATAAAGAGCTTCCACTGTAGTGTGAACAAAAACAAACAAAAAAGTTTTAGTAAACATGGGTCCGCAAAGTAACGGTTTCGGAGATATCAAAAATTATTTGTTTTTTGAAACATTTATTTGCAGTCTGTTCAAACAAAAAGAGAAGCTTCTAGTAAAAATTCTAAAAATTTTCACATTCGATATTTCCGAAACCGTTACTTTGCGGACCCATGTCTATTATTTCACGTTTATCACAAGACATCATCAATTCAGTTTAAATAACTCAAATGACTCCTAAAAATTTTTGAGTCACGTTATTGTATTGCAATTAAGTTAAGTTGTAGTTATGTTTCAATAAAATATGATTTTTAAAGAGAATCGGACACTTATTTCTGGACAGGAAAAAAATCGAAATCGGACACTTACTTTTCGACGGAGGAAGTAAAACTTTTTTTATTTATTTTGGTCCGTATTATTACCTAAATAATTACCTAAATATTTTACAATCTCTTTTTAACCCCCTGTATACTACTAAAATTACTTGAAAAAAAAGAAAACTTTATTATGATGACATGAATGAAACAATTAAGTTGTATTTTCTAACTTCCAATTACATAAGAAGTAACTGAAAGAAACTGGTTTATACAGGCTGCGTCAGAACTCGGATAGAACTAGGATATCAGGATATTGGAAAAATGTTTAAAAAATTCTATCTGTCAAAAAAATTTGACATTTATTTTTTGACATTTGACATTTTTTTATGTCAATTTAATGATACTGATGATCTTGTATTTGTTTTTTAATAACTATTTAGTAAAACTACAAAAATTTTGCCAATAAAAGCCACAAATAACATTAAACAAAGTTACAGTTCAGGATACAGCTTTCTTGTTTCCTCTTCTAACATCCTGTAGCGAAAAAACTTGGAAAAATATTTTTCAAACAGAAATAAATAGAGTCAAAGTGCAAAATTTTAACTCTCATAACTAAGTAATTTTTATAGATAGATTTTTTTTTAACATTTTTTACATGTTCCTGGTATCTTACCTTACATGGCATTTTTCTCTGGTGCGCGTGTTCTGGCGCACCCTGTATAATTTCTAGTTTTGCATTGTTGTAAAGTTCTATTTTTTTAATATAATTATTTATAAGGTAAAACGTAAAAAGTACTAACATTTCTGTTAGAGCAGCAGAAATTACACCCAGTCGAGGCCACAAAATTTATGCCAGAAAGTGAACAAAAGTCGTCGAAACCTAGTTTATTGTGTATTTAGTTAATTCAGTAAATATTTTTCTGCTCTTTCTATTATAAAGTTAGTATCTTCTACCACCTCACTTCTGACCTGACTTGCAATCTGTATGCAGGGTGTTTTCTTAATATTGCAAAAAATTGCCATCACATATTTTACGTGCCCGTACCTACGCACGCTACTGGTTCCATAGGCGACTAGATGAAAATCATAGGGATACACGTTGATAACTCTTCAAAAATGTAACTTTATTTTTAATATTAATTTTTTATTAATAAAAAAAGATAACTTTGTGTTTTATTACTTAAAACATAGAACATATTAAAATATGTATAAAAAAATCTTAAAAATAGTAATAAAACTGTCAAATGTAGAGCTTTTCTGAAGAGGTAAAATTAGCAACGGCACATCAAAAATTTGTTGGTTTCTATAGTAACAAACGTTTAAACTTATTGAGTGCAGGCAAAATGTGTGGTTCAAAATGTACTACAGCGTTGCCAATTTGTGGTACGTATCTTTATAGTTTTATATTCTTAAAACCAAGCGGCCTTGAAAAAATATAAAAGCAAATCTGAGATTCTAATAAAGTTTTTTCTCGCCAAATAAAACAATGTCGTACCTTTTTAAGTCACCCTGTTACATACATACATATAATCAATTTATTAAAATTTTATTAAATTTCAAACGAATCTGAACGATTAAACTTTAAAACAAATTAAAAATTGAAATATATATTTTATCGATATATGTAATTAACAATCTAAATAGGGTTTTGCTGTTTTATCAAACGAGTAAATTTATTAATTATTTATTTTATTTTTCAACCCTGTCAAAATTTACGGTTTTTCTCCCGTATAAGGAAGTTTTGATAACTGTTTGGCATTTCTCAATACGAAACGTCAGATTATTTTCAACAGATTTAAAGCAAGTTTAAGCCTTGTTGAGTCTAATTCGAAGAATAAAATGTTGTATTCAACTCGTTTGAATGTAAATCGGACGCTTTACTCCAACTCGTGGTTTTAAAATCCATTCGGTAAAATAAAAGCGTCCGATTTACACTCAAACTCGTAGAATAATAAATAACTATTTTTTTAAGTAATGTTATTTTCAAATGCCATAAACATGGTGGTTAATATTTAGCTTTACTTTAATAAAATAAATATAATTGAAAAAAACCTTCAATTTTTGCTGTGTGTAATAAATAATGGATGTTTTTTTAATTAACGTATGTACCATTTTATTGAAAATTATTAATCTGACATTTGACACCTCGCCGGGCGTATTCAAAATTCTGTTCCGTTCAAAACAAACTCATAGTCACCGTCCACTAAGACATTAGTTTATTTATTTGTGAAAAAAATATTGTGATTCTTTATGCATTTAACGTGGAAGAAATTAATTAAATCAAATTTATGTCAAAGTCGCAAACCAAAAATTAGCCAGTTTAATTTTTAGGCTAAGGAATTATTCAGAAATAGAATAATTTCCTTTTGTGGTGTTTTGCACGGATTTTGCGCTTACCGGCTTTGGGTTCCTCCATGTAGAAAACAACGTCGGAATCGGACTCGCATCTGGAGGGTGCGTTGGGGGCGACGGTTTGGACGGGTGTGTCGCCCTGCGGCGTTCCAGGCGCCTCCATGCGATTCCGCGATTTCCGACGTTTCAAAACGGACGCTTTCTTAGCCACCTGCAACATCAGGGACTGACCCAACCCATGGAGACTTAACATCGAGACACCAAACACTGCATCTAGAACTAGCCTAAGAAAACTGTACACTATGTGCCCGTCATTAAACTACATCTCCCGTTATTTACTTATTCACAGATTCCCTCTTTTTCTCACCTAAGGTGAATTATTTATCGCCGATGAATTATTCACTTCGTTCGTATTGATAAGTGACGCGGGTGGTACCTTCGTCAAATATTCAGCTTGTTATTCAGCTCTTTAAACTAGCTTACGTCTAATTTTCTTTCTAACATGCACAAGGAGAGTGGAAACTGGGACGAGAAAATTTAGATAAATTGCTTTATTGAAATTGGATGTGACCACCATTTTGTATCCAACGATGTTTAGATAGAAAAACAGAAAGTTTTCCACATCTCGGGAGTGATAATTTACAGGTTCGTGTTCTAGTGCTATTAAAGCGAATCGTTTTTGGCATTTCGTGTGCTTTGGTGATCCACTTCTTGTGATGGATGCAAAACGGGGTCGTCGCGGATCTAATCACAAACCTTTTGCGGAAATTGATTTAAAAATTTATTGCTAATTGCCCCAAATACACAAAATGATGATGCAAATTAAATTTAACGATTTTGGGTAAATGTGTCAGATTTTTATTTTCAGAGCGATATTAATTTTAATTATTATTAACATTTCATAACATCCATTAGTCACGCTTTAAAATACATACATACATTTGCTTTTAATGAATATACTTAGCATGCTTTGCTGAAATTCTACACCTTCGTGATGATTGCATCTTGTTTTTGAATTATAAATGTTTCTCGATCTTGCCTCTGAAAACTTGTTTGAATTAAAACAACCTTATAAAAGGTTTATTCCTTAAGATTAAGAATCCAAAACCTAAAATTTTACTTAAATTGTCCCAAAAAAAATTTCAGTTTGTGATTGTTCTTTATACTAATTTTTGATTTCTTTACCAATTTATCAAATGTTATTCTAATTATCAGAAAAGCTAAAAAAATAATTAAAACAGATATTCACAATTTATGAAAAATTTTAAGATTTTTTTGGAAAGTTTTACATGAGTAGGTAAGATTTAAAACACTGTAACTTTCGTGGTACAGTTTTGTCGCAATTACCAAAAATTAAAAATGTTGGGACTGTTTTTGTGTACCATAATTTAAAAAATATGTGCTTTATAACTTTTACAAGCTTAGAAAGAATTTTCTACAATGTTTTGTGTACTTTTCGACACCCTTGAAGTGCATTTCAATCAATTTTGAAGTTGTCAATTTTTCGATTTTTGAGAAAATTTTTATCGATTTTCGGTACCCGAAGCGGTCTATTGCTAATAACTCCGGAATTATTGGCGCTAGTTCTTTATGTTTAGCATATTGAAAAGTATATTTAATTTTCATTGTCCTACGATAAATAGTTATCGAGAAAATTGCTAATAAATTTAAAAATTTCCAAAACATAAATTCGACTATAACTTCTAACATTTGCGAATTTTGCAATTTTCTCGACGCTAATCGACTTCCCGAAACACTTTACATAAGAGCCGGTTAAAACATTTGCAAAATGAAATAATAAAAGTTTTTAAATACCCCCCTTTCAAAAATGGCTTATTTGAACATGTCTTAAATCCAATTTAAACTTGTCTATTGTATCCGATAGATTTTGACGCAATAATTACAAATCTGTGGAGTTCATAAATAGTCAATTATTGACTTTTAAAAATCTTAAAATATTTAAAAATGTGTATACAAAATTCATAAATTCATATAACTCCTTGCACAAATATACAGGTGTCCTCAAAATAAATTACAATACAAACTTATGTAAAAATAATTTTTTACATCCTAAAAGTAAAATAAGTACAACCTTAGTGCTATAACATTTATTTAGTGTATTGCAGTCAAATAGTTAAGAAAATGTGTAAGTTTGTAAAAAGTTAAAAAGCTTTAAAACTTAAATAAAACACTTATTTTTTCTGTTTAGTTTTTAACAGATTTTTAAATTCTCTATATAAAAACATAAATTTCATATATTTACAAGTGATAAATAAAACGTTACGTATTTAACTTCAAGCATTAAAAAAAATATTGTTTCAGTAACCATAAAATACAGTTGCACAATAAATGAGAACATTATTTGAAAGACTTTCAACAATTAAATCAAGATAAACAAAATCAACTAATAAAAGTCTAGTTTAAAATTAAAACTAAAAGCGACATCCAAAAATGCAAAAAGCACAGTGTTTCATTTAAAAAAAACATAAGTTTGTATTGTAACTCATTTCTGAGACACCTTGTATACTTAAAAATATTTTTAGGTGGTGCAGAAAATTAATATCTATAAAGAAGTTAGATGAATTTCTTGTTTAACTTTTATTGTCTATCCATATTTACATGTAAAAAAATAACATTAGATAAAAATTAATCGCATTTTTAAAATTGCATTATAAATTCCATTAACAATTCCTTAGACTGCAATATCTTTACTTCCAGCAATCAGTTTTTCAAATTTTCATTAAAAATTAAAAAAATCTTTCAGCATAGTAGGTACTAAGTATCCAGAATCCACAACATATTGTTGTATCAACAAGAAATTACTCCCATAAATTTGGTTAGGTTGGTTTTTGGTGACAAACAAAAAATTCCTAACCAGTGTCAAAATTTAGGTTGAGTCACCTACCAACTTGTAGATAATTCAATTGATATTTGACAGCAGGTTGACAGAAAACGTCAATCGTCAACAACCCTAGGCATACAAAATTACTTTTGAAAATTCTTGTTACAAACAACATAAAAAACGTAATTTCAAATCCTAGGTGGTAACTTCTTGTTGACAAATCTGTAATGTTTCAAATTACATTAGTTACAATAAAGTACATTAATTGATAATAGTTTGTCACCTAAAAAGAACATCAGTATGCAGTTGCATAAAAGTTACCAATAACAAAGTTGTATTTCGCAACATTGTTTTTTGATAAAAAAATACAAAAAAGACCACTTTTGATTTTGATTTTTGTACAAAAACTCGCTGTACACCTCAGGTCCAATTTCCAAATCAACTTCCATAAGGTTTACCCCTTCATCCCCCTTAAAATCCGCTAAAAAAGTCATCGAATGTGAGTCTCACCTTGGAAAGAGGTATATTGCAATTGGTGCCGCTCCCACTGGAAGAGTTGTTGGTGGTGAAACCGTTCGTATCCTTGAGATAAATCTGCCACGTCGCCCTCGAATTGAAACTTTTGTCGGCGGCGTAACACCGCCACAAGCACTGAATGAGCATGGCGGCGGCGGGAATCTGCCGATTGAAATGTTTCTGCCGTTGTTTCTGCTGTACCTTGAGGGCGAAGCCCGAACCGAGGATACCCTGCACCATAGAAAAACGAATAAAAGTCGCGTTTATTACATAATTATCAGTCAAAATTAAGAGCCTCAAGCCAAACAAGAGGCTTTGTTGGGTTCAGGTGCTACTAAATTCAAGCAAACAACAGGTTGGGGGTAATCAAGAGGAGAAGAGTTGAGGTTTAGAAGCGAGCACAAAGAGGGATCAAAAATTCATAAATTTCGGGCCGGGAAATCGATAATGGAGCAAACACTTTAATTCTTGGATAATTGGGAAACTGGGGTTTGTGTGGCATTTATTTTAATTTGGATCATTTTTTCTTGTCAGTCTTGTGATTATTGACTTCCATTTATCTCACTAAAATCAGGGGCGAATCTGGGCGAACACGTGTCAATAATAATGAAGATTGATGCTCGATTATTTTTAGGTGTAACACGATAGCGACATGATTTTAACATGAAAAATATCAAATGACAACTACTTTCGACACTGAAGCGAAAATTACTCTCACACAGGACGCTTAGTGTCGGTTTTCAGGAACTGAAAACCTAATAAAAAGTCTTCTAGAAAATTAAAGTGTGTACACGACCTAAGCTGTCACTTAAACAAGATTATAGAACGCGAATTGAAAACTTAATTCAGAATAATTACACTTATTTCGTTAGAATTGTTTGATTAATTTTACATTTCTCAATTTTTAAGTCTCTTATTCAAACGTTTTTATATTTTTAATAGTTATAGAATTACCTTTTTGCTTTTACAGTGTAGCTTGCCCCGTTTCATAAAACGTCAAATTTGCAAAATTTTTAAATAAATAAATAGTAATAATTGTAAATACAACTCGGAAGACAAAGTCTAGTAAATACTATTCAAACTTAACCCCCTTAACAAAAATAACTAAATAAATAAATAGAAAAATTAATAAATAAACAAATAAATGAAATACAATTTACAAAAATTGCACTCTAAAAAAAAGTAAAAAACAACAAAAAAATAACAAAAAACAAATAGCAATTTTGAAAAAAAACTATGAATTAGTAAAATATGTCTTAATTTTTTTGCGAAAATTAGTCACCAAAGGTTTTTTCTATTATAGGAGAGAGATCTTTCAAATATTGCTGTATTTATTTTGCAGTCTTGGGAAATCAAATATGACATTTTTTCTTCTTGTAAACTTAATACGGAGACATACTGTATATTTAGTCTACCGACAGCCAACTAAGGTTTTTTATATCTTGCGATAACCAAATTTTCTAATTTTTATAAATAAAACGAGAACACGAATTTTGTATTTTTTATAATCGATATTTAGATCGATAATTTATAGAAAATAATAATATTACCTTATCTTTAAGTCTTATTTTAAACCATATTTAGCACAATTGTTTACAGTTTTAACAGAAATAATGGAACATAGAAATTAATTAAAGTTATCAATAGTTGTTTTACCATCTACAGTTGATAAAAATTTCATTCAAAGGTTAAAGAATTATCCCTTTTATTTGTTTTTATTGTTTCTTTGCTTTAAACTAAATATAATTTTCATTAAGAATAAGTAGTAAAAAAAGTGAGATTGACAATAAAATCAAAGAAGCCGCATTTTGAAACAAAATTTTTAATTATTTTAATTTTTCTTGTCGAAAAATATAAGACATGTTCTAATTGGTTGAATTTTAAAAGCCGTAATTAATTGGCAATGACACTCAACTTTAACGCATTGAATATTGAATGTTTTTTTCCTTTTTATTAGTCTAATAATCAAAAGTGTATGATTCATATTGGTTTTGGGGTTGGCTTCGCCCATTGTGTAAAATTAGACCTAATTAAAGTAAGATAACTCACATTAAACGCTTATCTGTTACAAAAATTCGATTCAGAATTCAATAATTTTTCAGGATTTTTAAATTTTAATGATTTACTTATCGTTGCTAGGTTTTTTGTCGGATTTCCAATAAGAAATAAAAACCGGTAGTGGTAATTACATGAATGTGAAATAATTATTATTGACCCTTGTAATCGTACCAATAAATTAACAAATGTGTCCAACCAATCAAATTCAAGTTATACAAAAACCTCACCGATTGGCCATAAAAAACTGTTTTAATTCAATTCAACTTTGCTTGGGAAAAGATGGAAAAAAAAAGAATTTAAATTGATTTTTTCAAATAACTATGAAAAATTAAAATTAGATAAAGGACTATTTTGTCAATTTTATTCTCAGTGGGTTCTAAAAAAAACGCAGATCGCAGTTTTCATGTGAGTTCAAAAATGATAAAATTAAATTTGTTTCCTCAATTGACTTTAAAAAATTCAAATTTTTTCCAGTTTAGTACTGAAAAATTGATTAAGCAAATCCTCTCGGATTCGCAAATGTTTTGTAGAAGTAGTCGTTGAAACAGCCTCGGCTCTCGTGTAAAACTAATACTGTTTAATTAGAAAAATGTCAAATTTGTAGGGGGCTTTGCTCCCCAAGTAGAACTCACACTGCGTACTTTGCAAATATCGACATTGCCGGGGGCTTTGCCCCTGAATAGAACTCACACTATATGATTTAAAATTGCCCCCGAGTAGAACTTACAATAACTAAACCGCAAATGTTTTGACGAAACTCACTCCAGTGTAAACTTCATACTATTAGATTTGCATTAGAATTTCTGGGGGCTCACACTATCGGACTCGTAACTATTTTATCCATTTTAAACTGTATTATTAAATTTTTACGTTATTTGAGACAACTATTTGCATATTACTAATTTTGAGATTAATTTTGGAGTTTATTTTTGTGTTTTTTGTAGAAACACAAATTAATGAATATTTGCTTTCATCTAAATTCAAACTTAAACTATTTCCTAATAATAAAAATACTCCGGCGTGAATAAAGTCACTAGTTATTTCAGTTTTTTGTTAAAAAACCCACTAACAAACACTCAATGACTTGAATCACAACAAGTTGTGTTTGAATACACGAACTTAAAATAACATTTTTGTACAGGTATTATTATTGATGGAAAAATTGGAATCTAAAATACATTTTTTGTTTGGTTATTTTCCACCCAATAAAATTATTTTTCTTACTAAATGTAGATAGATTCTGTATTTTTATACATGACTTTTTTTCGATTTCTAAGCCCTGAAATTCAGTGAAAATGTAAAATAACTAAATAAAGAAATAAAAATACATTTTTTTATATTATCAATTCGTACTCACGGCTGGAAGAGCGAAGAAAGAAATGGCAAAGACGCTAAAGCAGGACGCTACAATCTTCCCCATCCAGGTCCTGGGCACGGTATCCCCATATCCGATGGTGGTAACAGTAATAACCCCCCACCAGAGTGCATCCGCATAACTGGAAAAATCCCCCGTATTTTTTCCATCAGCACCTACGGCGTCCTTTTCTGCTAAATAAACAAAATAACTGCTGAAAATTAGGCCCAGGAATCCGATGTAAAGAGTCGTTATTAATTCCTGCAGAAAAAAATACTTCAACTTCGCGAAAACTAAACCGTAAGTCATACTTGTCGATGTATAAACACAACTGAACCCAGTAACCTCCACGTGCCCCCTTGTCTGTCCACGTGGAGCATCCGCAGGATTTGCAGGAAGCGAATTCCTCGGATAGCCGACGTGGCAAACACTTGCCCGTTTGATCCTAACGTAAGGACTACGATCGATGCTACCACTACAATTAAATCTAAAAAAGAAAAGTTACTAAAAACCGGAAACTTGAATGTGACTAACCGATTATGCAGATCGGTTTGCGTATAAACCGGAGCCGCCCCCAGAAGCCCATGTATTTGGACCTGCAGCCCGCCGACCACAACCGCACCAAATACTCCACGCCGAAGAAGACCACGAGGCAAATTTCCTGCAACGGAATTATTAAAAGCCTGAGTTTGAGCAACTCTGTCTAAATAGAGATATTGCCAGCGGAGGTTATCAAATGTACAACTGTAATAACAAACTTACCATCCAGAAAAGGGTCTCGTTGGCAAAGCTCTGGTATGTGTCGATCGTCGACAACACGCTGAATATTAGACAAACGAGGACTAACATAAACCTGAAAGGAAAAATCGTATTAGTGTCAACAGCATGTCGAAGAAATGCGACAGCCGTGTAAATAAATCCAGCCGTTTCAGACGGAGCTCCGGAGGGAAACATTAAGAGAGAACGAAAGAAACAAGACGTTAACCGTTATAATATCACGACACGCGAACGTTCAGACGTAAATTCCAGATTAAACAAGTCAATAATCATTTTTACACTTTTATAATTTAAGCCCAAATGGTTTTACATGTCACTGAAAAACGAATTTCAATTAATTTAGAAAAACTTCCAATATTAAAAAATGGTGGATGCGCCGGGATAAAAATTATTCATAAGTATTAGTTAATAAATTCTCAGTTTTTTGCTATTTTTAAAATACTTTAATTACACCTTTACAGTCGTGTGTCTTGTAAAAACACTAAATTGTGACACCAAAAAAAACAAACAGTTTTTTGCTTGTTACGTAGTTGTCAACTGCACTCATTAAAATTATTTTCAAGTAGGTATACAAAGTATTCTATTATTCCAGAATCATACTCAACTTTCTTAAACATTTTTATGCATAATATTTTGTTCAAGTTTTGTTTTTGGTTGGGTTTATGCCAAGTTATTCAACTTCCTATATTTTTTTATAAATACATGCTTTGACTTAAATTACCTTACATTTGTGAAATATTACTTGCATTACAAGGGCGTAAAGTGTGTTTTTCTCTGTGAGTTGTTCCACCTGTGGAAGAAAAAGATACATTTTCCTCCCTTGTGTAATACATTTAACAATTTTTTTTGATATCTCAATTTCGCTATTAAATCTTGCAGTCATTTTTTTCCGTTTCTATAAAGAAGATAAAATTTTTACCTCTTTGAGAGGGAATTAAAAAGACAGAACTTACTTTCCTTTAAAAAGTAAGGAGAGTTCTAGAAAAAAAGATTTGATAAATTTTCTTGACAAAATATATAGTGACAAACAAAATATCATTTATAAAAAACATTATCATTAAGCGTTTTTGTGTATTTTTTAAACAGAAAATTAATCTGTTCAAGCATTTTTGCCAAAATAAAATATTTTCAGTTTTAATAAGATTATTCTACTGTGTAATTTTACTCCACAAAATGTCAACTAAAAGTGATCAAGTTCTAAAATTTTTAGAACTATTGTATTGTTATAGCGTTATTTTTATAAGACATTAATGACTTTTCCAGTTAATTCGGTTCTATTTTGCTGATATGCTTAAAAGCCTAATGTTTCGTAATGTTTTTCCTCCTAATATAAGCTTTTTAGCCGACTATGGGTGGTAAAACAAACAAGTTTTCGTAATTTACTTATATTTACGGCCAAAAATCACCAGTTACAAATATAATAAAAAAAAAATCAAAAGATTTTAACTTAAACCTTTTTCTATGGTACTTCATAAATAGTAAGATATATTTAAAAAAATGTTAATAGTAGTTCAGACAAATAAATTGTATTTTAGAAAGCACTAAATCTTATTTTGATTAGTAAATTTTATTTTAGAAAGCATTTATTTCAAATATTAGGAGTACTTTGGATATATTGATGGACTTAAAAATTTAAATTACAAAAAATACTACAAAAAAGTATCCTTTTCCTAAATTTAAAATAATTAAGTTTTTGATCAATGGAGACAGTATGTTGATTATGATACTGTGCGATCAAATAAAAAATAAATTAGAGTAGGCATCGATTAAAATCTACAGTTGGCAACACACTGACTGGTAATCTGGGCTGGTAATTTTCCACACAAACTGAAAGTGAAAATGACCGTCCACCGTTTTCCTCTTGTACAGCAATAAAAATTTTCTGCTCTAAAGTGAACATTATTTCATCTAAAAGGAATAAAACTCAAACTTGTTAAAGTTTCCGCTGACATTTGATGTCAAAAATCAGGATTGCCATCTAAAGGACTTGAATCACTGCCTACTCTAATTTATATTTTTTTGATCGCACGGTATTTTTTTATTTAGCTTACATAGAGGTTTAATTATTTTAAATTAAAAAAAAAACAATAACACTAATTACGTATTTTGATTTTACTGGTAAAAATTACAACTTTTTAAAATACAATTTAGAAATTTTAAATTCAAAAAAATCTGAATAATTTTATTGACATTTTCTAACAACTGAATTGATTTGAATTACAACTGATGTTTTCTTAAATCAAATTTTCGGTACTTAAATCTGAATTCAGTTGACGTTATTCGAAATACAATTTAATTATTATTAATATTATTTATGTCAGTCTCATTATTAAAATAACAAAATTTGCTCCTACATCCGCCAGTTCCACGAGTAGGTATAGTAATTTTTTTAGTAAATCGAATCAATATCATTGTTGTTTACGAACTTGCCTTGAAAATACAAACAGAAAAACTGGGTTATAGAAAATCGAACCATAAACCTTGACTGCGTTTCATACCCATTAAAATAATGACAGAACATAAATCATCGCAACCCTGCTAATTAGGCTAATCAGAATTCGGTCTAAGATTAATCCAAGTCAACAGGTGCCCAAAATTCAAGACTAAAAATACTTCAACGTAATGCACACACATCGATGAGACATAAAAAAGGTTAATGATAATTCAAAACGCCGCCATTAAAATTTTTCGGGAAATTACGTTGCGATTTGTTGACAATGTGTTCCGGCAATAAAAGGGGCTGTAAATTGGGTGAAAATCGTTCAAAAGATGGATTTTATCGATTGCGTTCAAGGAAAAAACCTTCGCTACTCAATTATTTAAAAAATTGCGTGTTATTTATCTAAATTATGTGCATGAACAAAATGACTTAATTGCAACAAGCAAGATCGCGAGGATTGAAATTCAAATCTGACATTTTAATCGTAATATAAACAGCCCAATTTCAAGCAATTCATTACGTTAATTAATAGCACCCCAATCAAAGGCATTAAATTGCTACTTTGCGTTTCATTACATTAAAACAATTTATGTTAAAGCTAAATTATCGAATGTTTGCACACATGTTGTGATTTTACCAAAATTAATTAAGCATCATAGACGAAAGCTCGACTTTTTGCTTCATATTGTGCATAAAACGAAAAATAAATTATGGTTACAGAAAATGCAAAATGCTTCGGGTTAGAAGCGTATTAAAATTGTATTATACGTTACTGAAATAAAACAAAGACTAGAAAATCAACTTTTTCGCTTAGTTGCAAGTTAGTTTCGGTTAGCATAGCTAAATTAATTACAGAAATGAATTATTGTTTGCTTAGCTGAAACTTTAACTTAACCATGATCCTCCCTTGTATTAAGCCATCCCGTCATCCCAATCCCTTAATCCCGGCTAACATCGTCGTTACGTTGACATATTATCCCAATAACTCGCCTTAAATCTCTCCCTTATCCTGTCCAAGGTGTGTCCCATATATTATTGAAATCAACATCGACGAAATAATTATCAACCTTGACATTTTGGGGTGATTAAATCGACCAGTGATTAACGGAAACGAGTTAATTTACACTTTGTTTCCCGTTAAATCAACAGCAATTGTTTGATTAGGAGAAAAAGAGATGTTTACTAAGAACCTCGCTACTATTCCACCTTTTTACATGTTTACTCTACCACCGAAATGGGATCGATGCGAGTGCTTAACAATGCTTTTCATATCTCTGACACGTAGATAAAAATTGTGGGAATATTTCAAAGGCGTGTTTTCGCCATCTGAGTCGATATTTACTAAGTAGCTTAAATTGAGCGAAACCGTAAAATTGCCACAACAATAGACTAATTAGACACCACGATCCCGGACTAAAATTTTACAATCAAGTGAAGGTCGCCGATTTGCATAATAATCGCGATTTCGGCCATCATGGCATTTTCTCGTTACGCCGGAACGGCTCTCCTGTCCCGGAAAGCGAGGTCGCGTGACTCCGGTGATTTATTGCGATTCGCCGAATCTCAGATTTGGAAATTGTCGATGTGATTTCCCAAGAGATTTTCAAACGCTGCCTTATGATATAAATAACAGGAATAATTGTAAATGTGTTTCATCTATTAATAATAAATCAGATGCTTATCACTTTGAAAAAACATGCAGTACCCACCGATACAGGAAATTAATAATTCTTGTTGATGTGTCACGAAACGGAAAAACTAATGACGGAAAATCGGTCGACTGTTGAGGGCAGAATGTTACCTTTATAAAATTTACAGTATGTCCCCGGATTGAGTTCACAAGAGAGAAAAAATATATCTTTGATTTTACGCCAAAACTGCAAAGGAAAAAAGTTTTTGCTTTACTTGACACCAGCATATCTGTAATTAAAACTTCATTATTCTAACTCAGTTGAAAGAAAAGTTCATTTTCCTCTTGATTTTGGACTTTTTCTCTACATTTTAAGTCTTATCACATTGGCGGTTTTAATTATTTGACAACTTATGTCACTTTGACAAAAAAAAGACGTTGGTTTTTACGTGGTTTTTACCTTAGAAATGTATCTTTGAGTTGCTGTTTATTAAAATTATGTTTTTCACAAACATTTTTGTTATTTAACTTGCGTAAACTCATTTGTCAAAGTGACATCATTGTCAAAATAATAAAACCGCCAAAGTGATAAGACTTAATAAGCAGAGAAAAGTTATTCTAAGTCCAAAATCAAAAAAAAAAAAAACTTTTCTTTCTACTGAGTTAGAATAATAAAGTTTTAATTAAAGATTTGCTGGTTTCAAGTAAAGCAAAAACTTTTTTTCGTTTGCAATTTTGGCGTAAAATCAAAGATATTTTTTTTCCTTTTGTAAATTCAATCCGGGGACATAAAGTAAAATCATTTTCCTAAGACCTACTAAAAATTTTATTACTTTTAAGTTAAATGCGGTATTGTTAAAAGTAATCAAATCATAAATTAGTTTAATCCACCCGGACCCTGAAACAGGTCAGTTTTTAACAGGGCCGGATTACTTACTTTCTTTTTGTTTAAAACACTTAAAATGTTTTAATAGTTTTTGATGTAGTTGTTATTAAAGTCAAGTATTTTAAGAAATTTAAAAAAGCCAGCTGGTTATTAACAAGCTATTATTAAATAAAGCTGATTTTTTTTAATAATAGCTTGGTAAAAGCTGTCTCAAAATCATTTGAGTAATCCAAAAATGTAATAAAAAAGATGGCTGCCTATTTAAAATAACGATCTTTTTTCCAACTCTAATATTGGATTAGAAATTTTGCTAAATTCAGAATTTGTTATAAAAAAAATTGTCAAAATAATATCAAAATTGCCAAGATAAAAGTATATATCCAAGAGGGTATATTTACGGCAACATAAGAGCAGGTACCACAACGTTAAATGCACTATAAAAACAGTACACAATATTAGTGTTGTAAAGAAAAATAATATACAACTCACTTAGAATATTTGGTTGCAATCAGAATTTAAAAGCATACTATTGCTAAAATATTAATGAAATTTTTTTCCCAAAAATTTTATGTGATAAAAAACAAATAAAACAATTCTATTAAAGCCATATTTAGAGCGTTTCATGACTCCCAAAAATGTATAATCTGAGTCTGTCATCGAATAAAATACTATTTAATTTATTTAGATTAAATTGAGAAAAAAAATGAGTATATGATTGAAAAAAGTTTTAGCACTGAATGTTGTAAACCGAGTATTTTCTTACTTAATTTGAGCAAAAAAAATCGTATTTGTGAGTTAAGTTTTTATAACACAGACTGAGTCACAATCTTTAATAATGTAGCTCTTTCATTGTAAAGTTTTGGCTCAGTTTAGATGAATTTTAAACACTTTTTAGTTAGTTAAATTAGATTGAGCAAAACGCTGAGTTTTGTTTTTTGTAAAAATTTCTGATTTTGAATATTTTTAGATTAAGTTAATCTTTAAGGTCTTAACTTTTAATTCTTTACTCGTGCAAAGTTTTAGCTAAGTTTAGATAAATCTTTGATACTTTTCTATTTATTGAGATTAAAATGAGCAAAAGTGAATAATTCAGATTTTGTTTTTTTTAGAAATTTCTGATTTTGAATGTTCTCAAAGTGAACTAATCTTAAGGAATATAGCTTTTTACTTGTGTGAAGTTTTGGATCAGTTTATATGAATTTTTAACACTTTTTTATTTATTTAGATTAAACTGAGGATTCGGATTTTATTTTTTGGAGAAATTAATTATTTTCAATGTTTTCAAACTGAGCTAATCTTTAATAATGTAGCTCAAAGTTTTGGCTCAGTTCAGATGATTCTTTAACACTTTTTATTTATTTAGATTAAACTGAGCAAAATGCTGAATGGATGATTCAGATTTCTCAATAACACTGTGTAATTGTATTATCAAAAATTATGTGGGTCTAAAAAATGAAGCTGTAATCCAGCCTCAATTAAAAATCCATTTTTCATCCCACCACTTGGCTCCGTTTCTGCGAATTAGAATTCGCTTAATCCGCGCCCGTTTTAATTAAATTCCGAATTAAGGAATTGAGATTCGGTTGGTTTCCGCGGTGTATCGTTTCCTCGGCCATCAATCTTCTTTTCGCCAATTATTATCGAGCACCTGTTTTAATTGAGTGCGCCTGTTGGCGCACTAAGAAATTTATGAAGTCTTCACTCGGATTAAAACGACTCAATTTCCCCGATATGACACTTTATCGGCATGAAATGACACGATATCGTCAACTCGTCAAGTGCAATGCTGTAATTTTATATGAATTTATTCCCAGTCGTGTGCTATCGATCGGGCCTCAAACCGCAGCTGATACAAAAAGGTCAAGGAGGAGCGTCGCTTATAGTATTTAAATTTCGACTATACCAATTTTTTTTTATCTCAATCAGGTTAATGGAGGTAAAACTTCCGGTGTAAAATCAATCGGTTATTAACAATAGATTTTAAAAAATCAAATAAATTGACCTATTTCTTCACAAATTGATTGTTTTTAGTGTGTTGGTATACATCCCAGATTGCATGACTCTGACAGAAACACGCGAATTATTTGTGGGTGATAATGTGAATATTATTTCGCGTTTTCGAAGTCACGCAAGTGCCCTAATAACACACCGAGCGCAAAAAATTAAGCGGGGCTTCCAGTACTAAATTAGACACAATTTCGAAGTCATTAGGTGCATGAGGAAGTGCACACGATGCAAATTTCTGAATGCATTAACCTTGCATTAGATGATTATTCAATTTTCTGTAAAAAAATTCCAAATTTTTTTACATACTCCGATTTCAATTTTATTATAAAACTTTTATTTAAAAAAATGACCCTTGTCAACTACCGTTTGATACAATAACTTTAAAATATGCTTCTGGTATTTGAGCTTCTTGATAGAAGTGATCAAATTGTAATATTTTTGCTTTGACTTGGTCGTTTTTTTCAACTAATTCTCTTTCTTTTTTTATTAATTTAATTCTATATAAAAATTTTAAATTTCACAACTAATGTTTTTAAAGATTAGTGACAAAATTATATTTATTTTTATTTTAAATAATGTTCACAAAAAAACGAGCCAGTTTTATGCACAAGCATACAAATTGTTCCCAACATTGCATTTTTCAGTCAAATAGGTCACAATATTATCATTACATAATGTATAAAAGTAGAATCTGTGTGAAAACAATACTCTACACACTTTAAAACCAAGTAAAAAAAATATGAAAAGTGAGAAATTTTTTATAAATTTGTCACAAGATAAAAGTGTTAGAAAGTGTTAGATTTCATTAAATGTGATCAGTTTTAAAAATCAAGTTAAAATATTTATTTATTGTAAGATTTAAAGTACAAAATTGCAATTTAGTTTTAATTAATTAGATAAATAAAAATCCAGGTTTTTATTTTGACTTTTGGTGTTTTTAACCGATATTTTTAAATATGGTGTTAAAAAAAGATTGTAAAATATTTCAGGAGGTAATAGTATGAACCCAAAGAAACACAAAAGTCTTAATAAACATGGATCCGCAAAGTAAATATTTCGGAGATATCAAAAATTATTCGTTTTTTGAAACATTTATTTGCAGTCTGTTCAAACAAAAAAGAGAAGCTTCTAGTAAAAATTCTAAAAATTTTCACATTTAATATCTCCGAAACCGTTACGTTGCAGACCCATGTTTATTAAAACTTTTTTGTTTATTCTGATCCATACTATTACCTCCTTAATTTTTTTATCTTTTTTTTAACACTCTGTAGACAAAGAACTATCGAACTATCTCTTGGGTGGTGATAAAACACATCAAACGGAGTTAAAAGTTCCCATGACAAAAAACTGTTGAGCCTTTTTTCACGAGATATAACTCTTTCAAAGTTAGATCTTAAGTTTTTGCGCGTTCAGATCATATATTCTTAAAAGTTAGCGGAAATAGCAGGATCTGGAACATTAAACAGGTTCCTGATAAAAAAATCACTATTAATTTGTGTCTTATAATGTAAAAAATATTTAATATACTAGCAAATTAAATCCGACAACAAACATTCGGAATGGAAATTGTCGGTCTTGTTTTTTTTTAGAACCAAAGCTTGGAAAAAAATCTGCATTCATTTTTATGTTTCGCCCAAAGCCTTTTATCACCATTCGAGAGTTGATCTGACACTTTTGCATCACCCTGTATAGAAAAACTTTTATATAAGAGTTATTCTCTTATCAAAAGTCAGTAAATAACTAGAACTCTAAATAAATATTTGTAGTACAAAATAATTCAAAAATTAAAATATTTATTAGGATCATAAAGAGATGATAGTAATAAAACTAACAACCTCCTTATGTTTTATTTCTATTATATTATTTATGTATTTACCTTGACTTTTGCTTGTGTAACCAAAAAATTCTACAATGTAACTATCCTATTCAAAAAATATTTTTCTCATTAAAAGTAATCGGAGAAACTAAAGCCCACAAGAGACCGACTGAATTAATAAATGAATGTTGGTTGTTGGTGTATAAATAAATTAATTAAAATATGTAAATAAACCAACACAGCAGCAATATAAATCGAAATAAGCAAAACTTTCCTAAATCTGTTTTTATTTTAGTTTATAAGTTGAGTAAAAAACATTAGTAATTTGCAGCCAAAAAAAGCTTTATTAAAAAATTAAAAATAAAACAAAATACAAAACGCAGATTTTACGTTGCAACAAGATTCAAAATTAAAACAAGACGATTTTTAACTTATCTTTTATTTAAACAAAATTAGCACAATGGTGCGACCTAAATTTTATATTTGTTTAGACTCAAACAAAGGATTTAGAATTATTTGCTAAAAATTCTGAATTATTGATGTTAAATGAAGTGAAAAAACCGTGTTTTAAGGTAATTAACCGGAACCCCTTGATAATGAATAGGTAATCATCATTAATCCCGAAACTCGCGTGAAAAACCCATCGGCTCCCTAGGTGTGTCCGGATTAATTTGCGTTGGGCAATGCGACAATGCTCATTTCGCCTAATTGTCCATCAATCCGTCCGAGTCCCAACCCTCTCGGCACTTACACAGTAAAGTGATAGATAAAACACAGCCATCCTCCGGGATGCTCCAGAAAAACGTACGTCCTCTCCTGGCACGTCTTCCCCTTCTTGTGGTGGAAAACGTACTTGGCCTTGAACGCCTGATCGATGGGCAGATAGATGGGATAGTAGGGGTCGGGGACGCCTCTGGGCTCGTCCGGCGGCGCCTCGACGTCGTCCTCCTCGTCGACGACGTCCTCGGGCTGCACCACGTCGTTCTTGTGGCTGCGGAAGCGCTGCTTGCGCTTGAGGGGCGTCGGCACGCGCTTGTGGTGCGCCTCGCCGAAGCGCGGCCGATGACCCCGCAGCCGTTGCAGGAAGGGCAGCCGCTCGGAGCAGTCGTCCTCCTCGCTGGGGACGTGGGGCGTCTCCTCGTCGCGCGACACATGGTTCACGGGGCTCTTCAGCACGCTGAGCACCAGGTCGTCGGAGGGCGCGTCGCGGTGCGGCTCGAAGGAGCCGCCGATCGGCACCAGACTCAGCTTTCGGGACGTACGGTACAAACTTTCCTGTTCAGACCGATTCATCTCGCTTAACATCACTAATGACAGCATTTGCGACCGGGAGACGGGGCGACGCGAAGGGACTCATGGCGACGGCATCGTCGGCTGCTCTGCTTACCGATAAATAGACAAGAAAAACAAATAAGCGATTTAACAACGTTTTAAAACATGTTAATTCTGAATTTACTCAAACTGGATCCAAAAAATTCTTCCAATTTCACAAATCTGTTCAAGCTAAGATTTTTCAGTTTAACTAAATATAAATTCGTTGACGAAAACGCAAATCGGCAACTAAACTAAAAATCAGCTGGAACTGAAAAAAACTAAATTGAATTAAAATACAAAAAACGGTGTTTTAAAAATCAAAATCAATACATTCTGTTAAAATAACACAAAAAATTAAAACTGTGTTCAATTTTCGAAAAAAATTAAACAATATTATGTATGAACTACTGACAAACAGATAAGAAAAAGAAAATAAGCCATCTAACAACCTTTAAAAACTTTGTTACTAAATTTTGAGTTTACCTACTCAAATTGAATCCAAAAACATTCTTAAATCGAATTAAATTTCTCATCAATATTCAAAAATCAAGCTAAGATTTTTTCCTTTAACAATAAATTCATTAATCAAACTGGAATTAAAGACTATAAATCAGCTAAAACAAAAATAAATTAAATTAAAATACAAAAAATCTATGTTTTAGGAAACGGTGTTTTAAAAAATCAAAAGCAAGAAAGTTTTTAGATAAAATAAATGATAATAAATCGTCTACTAAAAAAAAAAAATACTTAATTAATTTTTCTATTGTGAGCTAAACAAATGTCAAATATTTTTTTAACTAAATACCTTTTTCCTAAGAATAAGCATATAAACCTGTTTTTAATTACAAATTAAAAGTCTGATACATTCTGTTGAAATAAAAACAAAAATTTTAAATTTGTGTTCAATTTAAAAAAATAGTCGATATTTTGTATACAAATAAAAAAAACTGTTAGAATCGTAGAAAAAATATTTTAAAGTTGTAATTTTAAGATTTTTAGATTTCTGAAACAAAATTTTCTAAACACAATTTTTAATTTTATGGTATTTTATAGACAGATTATTTTTCATTTACTCGTAGATTATTTTTTCTAGAATCAAATAAGAGTCTAATAAATAATTTAAAAGCTTTGTAATCTATTTATTATTTACAGTGATAATGACTGATAAAGTCTTAGCTCGAACAGTGTATATTTTAATTAGACATTAATAATTTTTCTGTACAGAAGAAGCAAATGGTCTGACATGTACACAAATAAAAAATAAAATAATTGTTCAAAAACTAAATACTTTTGAAACGTTATTTCTGCATAAATCTGATTAAAAAGTGTAACTAGCAATAATAACAGGTGTGAAAGTAATTACACAATTTGAATAATTTATGTTGGCATTTTGTAATCTTGAAAATTAAAAGACTTCTTGAACATTGTATGTTTTTGTCAAATAATTCCCTGTGATGACAGTAGCAAATGCAATTATTGGTAAAGTAATTAGAATTAATTAAAATTTCATTTAATCTACATTTGGTCATATAATCTCTAAGCTCAAGGTTTTGAAACACACGCAATAGAAATTATTAATTTACAAAACAATCTCTTGTACTTAATTAAATGCACATGCATTTAAACTATACCTCTAATTTTGTCCTTTCTTACACACAAAACGTAGAATTTAATTCTTAACTTCATTCAGAAACGTAAACTAGATGAAAACTTTCTCTAAAAGCATTACGACATTAAAACAAATATTGACAAAGTAATTACAATTATTTTTAACTTTGTTTCCATAAATTACCCCAGTGTGTGTCCCTGAAAACGCGTCTTCAAAGTTCAAAAGTTAACTTATTAAAAGCTAGTTAACATTATTTTCATAAAATATTTTTGAAAATAGTTATTTTTGAATAAATAATTTTGTCAATGAATGATAAAATAGAGTTTATTTTGTAAATAAAACATATATAGCAAACGATTAAAAGATATTTTACCGTGATTAACTCCCGATAACCCGCAAAGTCACAATTCGCAATTCGCGTCCACTGGCACCCGGATCGCCCCCCATCCGTAATCCCTCCACGCTGCGACTTGCCACTCATAATCCGTGCAAGGGCCCCGTAGTCCCGGCGCCTCCGCCAAATTAGGGCGGCGCGGGAGGCCAGGCCCCCGATTTATCGACGAAACAACTCGTAATGGTCGCGGTGAATAATGCAGACGGTGGCGGCGGCGGTGGCGGCAGAGCGCGCGGCTTTCAGCGCGTCCGAAAACCAACTGTTGGTCTCGCGCAGGGGACGCTCACACCACGACGACGCTTCCATCGATCTAAGCCACGGCGGAATCACATCAGGTAGGTCGACTTTAAGCGCCAGGAAGCCAGGGGGTGAGGAGTTTAGACGCTAATTGCCGGAGAAAAATCCAAGGCACAACAATGCACTGGATTATTCAGCGACAAAGGGGAATAGTGGCTCGTTAGCACATGTTTAGAGTAGATAGAGGGTCCTGGGGGACGAAAGCGCCCGAAAATAGTACGACGGATTTAAATTTTTATTAGGACAAGTTGGAAGGAAATAAGCACGAGATGGAAGTTTTCATAAAATGGGGCCTGAGGGACGGGAAGTGACAGTTTTTAGTATCTTATTAATACGAAGCTTCATTGCAAAGCTTCCAGAGTTATTCCTTGAAAGTGGAGCGAGACTTGCTCATTACAAATGCACATTTTTTCTGCTTCCGCCAATGTAACACTTGTTGAACCACTTGAATTATCCCGCTAGATAATGGAGATGATAAAAGGTTTAAAGTTTTAGATAATACAGTACTTAAAAGCTACCCACCCTTTTAATGGCAAAATAAAGCAAGAGGTTAAAGAAATTGCGAAACTACATGTCCCTTTTTGAGTACAAATTTGTAATATTTTTTTTTAATAATAGTCGATTTCATAGTAAAATTAAATAGATGAATGGCAACGATAACAGAATTAAAATTTTTAGAAAAATAAAAAAATCAAGAAAAATTAATAATTCAAAAAAAAATTATTAATTAATTACATAAAAAATCACCTTGTGTATAATAATTATATACAACAATTATTGTTGTCAGACCATAGAAACTAAATTGTCAAAACTTTAATTTTTACTATAAAAATCAATTACGTCATGAAAATGTCCTCTTTTTGGTAAAAATATTAGTACCAACTTCAAAAACAATAACAGTCGGAACATACTGAAAACTAAAACAAATATTATATGTATACAGGGTCCTTCATCTTAGTTGCCGTCTTTTGTAGCCCAAATATACATTTAAGTTGGAATTTTGATATTTTGTACATTTTTGTAGATATTTCAGGAAAATATTTTTAATCCTACGTAATATCCCAAAAAAATGGGACGTCAAAATGATATTTCTTTTAAATAGCAAGCTATTATTTTTTGTATCCATTAGGATGCTTTTTTAATTACTAAAAAAATCAGTTTTGCGATTGATCCAAATCACTACAGGCTGTGCACAATTTACTATCTACCACTTTTCAAACTTAACGACTTTTTTTTTCTTATTTTAAATTAGTACTTTTGTTTATTTTTATGGTTCAATACGAAATTAAAAAAAAAACATTTTTTTCTAATTACAACTCCATCGTAAATCGTAACAACTCATTCAAATTTATTTTCCTATAAACTCGTTTAATTAACTATTTCAATAACAATTTTAATAATATATATTTGTTAAAAATCTAACTTTTAATAAATGCAATTCTTATAATAATACCGTGTCATAAAAAAGTCTGTATCCAACAAACTAAAAAAAAATGGTTCATAAGCCAAATATTAATTCTAAAATTGAAAAGTTTAGATTTAGAATCTAGAAGTCAGAATTTTGAATTTAAAAAATAAAATTAAAAAAAAACGAACCTACTAATTTGAAAATGTTAAAACAAAAATAAATAGCTATTAAATAGCTATTTTACTGACTCACTTAATAGCTATATTAGGTTCCATTTTTTGTTTTTGACCACTATTTTAGAGAAATTAATCATACATAATAAGAGGTCTAAATGAGTATTTAGGAAGTTTAATAAAAAAAATGCGGGTATCTAATATGCTATTCCAGACTCGGCTACGCCTTGTCCACAAACACCAAACAAACAAAAAATTCTTTACCTCTAATTTGTAATAATCGTTCTTTGAATGTCGTTTTAGTTTTGCTCGTGTTTAATAAATTCCTAAATTTCGAAAGTTTAGATATTTAAAAGTCAGAATTTCGAGTTTGAAAAACTAAATTCAAAATTTAGAAAGTTTATAAAAATGAAAATGAAAAATTCAAATTTTTAATCGTAAATTTATGTTAAGCAAAAACAAAATTTCAAATTTAGTAATGATTTCAAGCTTAAAAATCGAGCTTTATTTCTACAGTCATTCACGTCAAAGTTATGATTTTATTTTTTTACAAAATTCTAGACTTTGAAACACAACACTTACTTATTATTGGACTTACAATTTATACGCTGTGTCAATTTGAAAACTTGCAATCGGAATATCTCTCAATTGAAAAAGTTATTGAGAATCACTCAAAACCGTTTTGGTGATTCCTAGGAGGAAGCAAAATGACATGGTAAGTGACCTCCACCCACCCTTGAATATAATAACAAAAAATTAAGTCTTCGTTTTTAAATAATTGGAAAAACGGCTTTATCAATTAGGCTGTTGTGTTACATTTTTGAAAAGCTTGTTATGAGCTTTCCAACGATGTATCACAAGTAGGGTCGTGCCATTTAAAATTTTCAATTTTCAAACGGTTTTGAGTGATTCTCAATAACTTTTTCCGTTGTAGAGACATTGCCGATTGCAAGTTTTAAAATTGACACCCTGTATGTAATTTGTGTCTTAAAAATAAAATTTTCTATTATAAAAAACGTAAAAGCAGTTTAGTACTACTTATGATACTTAACAAAAAAATATTCTTTACGCTTAATTTGTAAAAATCGTTCTTCAGGTCTCGTGTTAATTTTGTGAGTTCTGTAATAATTCCACAAT